GTGTTAATAGACAATTTATGATATTTGCAAAGATTTGCATAGTGATAATAAGGCACTAATGGATGTCATCTATGTATAGCGATGCCCCCTGAATGAATCATGTCGATTCATTCTCAATTTATGCAAAACCAGTTTAGTTTCCAATGTTAGTGCTATGCAAGTCAAAACATTAAAAATATTCAGAAGAACCTCTCATTTCAGACAGGAAATCTATCTCTGAGTCTGAAAAGTGCTTTTACTCTGAAGTCTGGGGCTATGACTAAATCCCGAACAACAAAACAATGTTATATATACACATGTATATAAGTGTGAAAAGGGGTGTGGAAAGCATATCAGGCTCACTGGTTTTATGCTGTACACTAGTGTCATGAGAACATTACAACAAAACACATTACAGTACATTTAAAAGATGTCTGTAATAGAAGTATTTTTATCAATACATAAAGTCCTGCTCTACATTGCAGGAAATTAAAGTACAAGAAGTTTGTGCTGATGCCACAGCACAAGAAAGTTTGATGCAAATCTAATTCGACAAAGAATACACAGTGACCAGGCAGGCACAGGTAATAAATACAAACACAATTTAGCCTACAATAAACACATCAACTTGACTACACACAAGTGAAAAAGACAAGGCCCTGCAGCTCTCAACAATAAACAATAAAACGTAGAGCAAATCATTACTTTATAATTTGGTCAATACATCAAACTAAACTAAATGCAGACACGTACGATCAATGGAATGTCTGGCTGGCTAACATAGATGTGGTTTGGTTAAATAAATAAAAAATCGTCTGTTTAAAGGGACACTCCACCCATTTGCATTAAGCTTTTCATTGTTAGAAACCCAATTATATTATTGAATGGTCGTGCAACACTCTCTCATTTTCCCCTGAGATGAGAGAAATCCACTATTTACCTTTTTCACTTCCTCCCACAATGACGCAAACATCGTAATTTTACGTCATTGTAGGAGGAAGTAGAGGTCTTCACAGGGCACCCGAGACCCGTCGGCCCCGGACCCGACCCGGGACCCGTACGGGTTCGGGTCTATATTTTAAATGAGCAGCCGGGTCCGGGTCGGGTCCGAATCTATTACTTCGGGTCCCGGGTCTGTTTAACATTGTGTGTAATACCAACGCATTCTCATTCTCAATAATATGTGACAATCGGGTTTGTGTCTTCCTGTCGGGTTTGGGTCCAGTTTTCAAATAATAGACGGGTCCAGGTCGGGTCCGGGCAGTACATTTATGGCATTTCTCGGGTCTGCACGGGTCCGGGTCCAACTTTTGAAATGAACGACGGGTCCGGGTCGGTTCGGTGTAGCACATTACGGGTCTCTTCCGGGTCGGGCATGAATTTTTGGACCCGTGAAGACCTCTAGGAGGAAGCGAAAGAGGGGGGAATTCTGTAAAGACTACAAGCACTAGTTCCTATTAGGCCTGTTGGAACAAATTCCGAAATTCGAAAATAATTCGTATATTAAAAAAAAATCAATACTATTCGAATGCTGAAGTTACTGTTCGAAAATAGATTTTTTTATATATGCAATTAAAAATTTTTCTTTCATACGCAATCTTGCCTTGTAAAAAAATGGTAGCCTAAATGTTTAACGCTGTAAAAAGCACCCCTCAAAGCGCCTGTGAAGCAAAAAATGCAAATATCTCAACGGATTCGGAGCGCATCAAGCTTGTTGGAGCCATCTAGTCGAACTGAAAAGAACGAGTTTCCGAATTTTTGGCGGTGTTTTCGCGGAGATATCAGGCGAAAACCATTGGAAGCGTTTGAACCATATTCAGCACAAATAAATGTGTATTAGATGTCCCTCTAGTGGACCAAACGTGTAACAACAACCACAAGCTATAGTGGCATTGGCGATCCATAACTAGTGTATTGTCGTAAATATTAATAGTAGGATAAATTTTAGCATTTAATATTCAAATATAATTCGTTCATTTTCCCAAGAGATCCACCGGAATAGCCTCTGAACAGGGCTTCTTTTAACTTCTAGAACAAACTTTGTTTTAGTACAAACTAAAACATATTTATTAATACGGGGAACTGCCCATAATACCTCAGTGCCCCTTAAACTGCGAAAATACACAGTCATCCTCAGAACCAGTGCCAGAAGAGCTAAAAGCGAGACGTGGGTGTCCCACAATATGAAGAAAATGTAAGTAAAAAAACAGTTGGCTGCTTTAGTTTTTTGTGTGGAAGCTTATATAATACTTGAAGTTTAAAAGTAAAAGGTTAAGATTTATATATTATATTATATTATAGAATTTTGGTGGTGGAACGGGAGCTTCGTGTCCTGGATGTGCATCCCACAAATCTCCATCAACTGCAAGACTCTATCCAATATATATATGGGCCAACATTACTAAAGAATGCTTTCAGCACCTTGTTGAATCAATGCCACATAAAATTAAGTTCTGAGGGAGAAAGAGGGTCAAACACAGTATTAGTATGGTGTTCCTAATAATCCTAAGTGAGTATTTGTCAGAATACTATTTGAGAAAAATAATGGTGAAAATTGCAGAGGATAGAGAAAACTGTAAAAAGAGAGAGACAATATGGTCAAAAATGATCTTTGCCCATTGAGTCCAGAAATAGAGGGAGCTTTTAAAAATGAAAACCTCCACAACAAAGAGCCCACCAGACTGTAGCATTCTCTCCAATCCCCATGAAAGTACTCAGCACAAGCCACCTGCTAACACATTCAGCACATCAAACACTTGTCTGTTGTCATTCACATCAATAGAGGCTTGAAATTGGGCATTTCTGCGGCTACGGTACATTATTAGGACTTTTTGTGATTAAAGATTGGTCATCGATGTAGGTCTGAACTCTACAGACAAGTTCTTTATGGTGAACATGCATCCGATTCCGAATATAATGAAATCAACTAAAGCCTTTTTCTGCTTCATCATTTTCCCTCGTCTTACTGTGTAAACTAAAGGCCCATCCTGAAGGCTCTTTGACGCCTGTACTAAAATGACATGCTACAACAGAACCTTGGGACGAATATCTGTCAGACAGAGATGAATAACCAAAGGGAGGGGATAGGAGGTCGTCAGGTTTAAGTGACGAAAATCCCAATTAGAAAAAAAAAAAAAACATGGAAGGTCACATCGCAATGACATTTCTTGAAACAAAACTGTTTGTTAGTATTTTGACTCAGCCGTTCTGACATGTTATGGACAGTGTCATTGGTATAACACATTTGGCTCGCAGTGCTCGGGCATCACAACGGTTATGACAGATGACTAAGAACGCAGGCTAAACAAGCAAAGCCAAGTAAGTAAGAGCCAAAGATTTGCTGGATAAAGACTTAAGTCTTAAGACGCGGTACCCACGCGACAAGCCCTTCAAGCTGAGTCAATTCATCATCAACACAGAGATAAACAGCTCTTGATTGGACGCATCAAACTAAATGAGGATTAAATTTGCATAACGATAAATGATACGGCACAAATAATAGGATTAGCACGTTGCTAGCGGTGATTTCATCTTTTTTATGCAATGATAAAATTATCTGAGGTTAGCTTAAGGAAATAAAGCACATATATTATAGAATAAGATGTAATTACTTCCAATAAAAGGAATATTCTACAGTAAAACGCTATAGCGAGACAGCTTGGGCCGACCCTGGAAACAAAACTTGACCACTTATAATTGTTGAAATCTCACTAAGAAACTGTACGACATCTCATTAGAGCGATTTCAAACGAGGCATAAGTGTTGCTTTCCGAGGGGAATAATTTCACAAAAATCTGCCAAGATCTTTGAAAAAAAAAAAAAAACACTTATGGAAGTCACTACCAAGGATGCATCATATTTTGATGCAAAACAGCCCAGAGACCTTCAGTTTTCAACCGTATGAGACTAAACACTTGCCATTGTAGACACAGATTAACCACGAAACAAAAAGAAATGTTCATTTTGTCACATATTCTTCCAAAAAAAATCATTATTGAGACTTTAAGACTTACTGAGATTCTTAAACTATGGTAGAAATCTAGGTAACACTTTACAATAAAAAAAAAAAAAATTGCACTAGGCATCATAAACTAATTACAAACAACACTTTTTAACATAATTTATGAATGTTTATATATTTATTATGTTTATTCATTGTTAATTCGTGTTCATTCATAATAGACATTAGGGTAATAATTAGGGTAAAAGACATTAGGGTATCATGAATTAGAAAAGTTTAACCTTATTGTAAAGCGTTAAGAAAAATCAAATACAAAGATAATATTTCAAGCAGCTGTGCTGTGAAGAATCAAATTCATTCTGACTGGTGAAAATGCACCCTTGGTATTCAGCAGAATCGGTTGATGGTTAATAAGCCAATGACCATACTTTGCTTCACATTTTGCTGAACCAAAGTTCTGACAAAATTAGGTAATTATGCCTCTGAATGTCATGAATTTCACCAATTTTCCAAGCTGGCTTAAGGCAACCCTCTGCAGTAATTTGAAGCTTGCACTTTGTTCCAGAGAACCGCAAAAAGACCACATCTTAATTTATGCCTGTGGAAACCTCCAAGGCAATTATGCTTTTCAGTTTGCTTGACTCTGTCCATCTAACTAAAAACGCAGTAGTGAAGAACAACATCAATCTATATAATGCGATAGATTGTATGTTCTCAAAAAAGCAATAAGCTTGAGACATACGTTATGTAATGCTGCTGCATTGTCCTGCAAACAGAGTTGAACTTTAGGGCAATTTAATTCTCTATATAAACAGACAAACTGAATAACTAATGTTCTGGAACTGAAACTGTAAGCCTAATAACATAAAATACAACAAGATCAAACTACTTACAATATATTGCCTCTTTTGTTGAAGTAGACAGCAAAACAAAAATTAAATGTGTATATTCCTACACTTTTCAGGGGAAACATTATGTTTAAACTTAATAGCTCAATGTAACCTGGCTTAAACGCATAACCTTTAACCTTTTTGAACAAAACGATTTTAAATGTACTCACCCCTCTTGGCTTTGGCTTGTCGTACCCTCCATATTGTTTTGTGGATCTCAAAATTGTAGTTAGCTGGCAAAGCCTTAATGGCCTCGTTGAGCTCTGGATCTTTGAGGATCTCATCAGGAATCTGATTGGCCACTCTCCTCGGTCCTCGCACTACATTAAAAAGACAATATGAGAGTTACTTCACCTAATTTGCTTTAGAGAAACTGAGACTGAATTTGTTGTAAGCATCACTGAACTCAAGTGTGCCTTAAAACACTGTTGTGTGATTTACAATATGTGCAATTGCAAAGTACCACTAAAAATCTCATTTCATTTTTATGAGAAATTGATTGGGCTCTAGCCTATAATAAGACAAGGAAAGCCCATGCAATCATTTCTCAGATCCAAAATTAATCTTCACAAATGAAGAATCAGCACACTGTCAGGACAGCAGCTGAACTGAGAGGTTAGGCATTAGCAGAATAATTCTGTCAGCGACATTCATTTATTTCTGAAGTCTACAACAGATAGACCATATGTAATGTAAGTTCTTGGCTAGTTTAAATAGACAGCCCATTGTGCATTATAGATCATGCAACTAACATGAACCATGATACTAAAGGTTTCTTAAATGACAAAACACATTCACTTTTATTTAAGAATACAAATATAAGCCGAGGAATGACTGATATCTAATGCAACCATTTTCTTACAATAACATACCGGCGTACATCTCATAAATTATTCATTCAAGTACCTGGAAATTTACTGCAACAATGGTGCAGCGAAATTCACATACTGTTGCAAATACAGCATTCAGTTGATCCTGAGTGCTCATTGTCACAGTTGGGTTAGGTGACTTATTTATTGTGAATTTGTTATGTACATTTTTTGTGTTTTGTATTTAGACAACTTTTATATTTACATACATTTAAATTACAATTTTAATATATTAAATTAAGAATATATATATATATTTCAATAGAAAGGCTGTTCTTTAATGTCATTTACCATCGTTTGAGGCTCTCTTTTTTTAATTATCGGTTCAGGCAACATTTAGGCACTGGCACCGTTTTAAAAGCATCGATTTGGCAGTGATATCAAAAAAAAAAAAAAAAAACGATTAAAGAACCCCACTCGTTTTGTTTTGTCAAAACATACATCTGCTTTTCTAGGGTACCCTGTGACGACTATAAGTCACAGGGCTGATTGAAGTCTATAGTTTAGTCACAGGGCTCATTAAAGTCTATAGTTCAAGAAAACGTTTTAGTAAGTAAATAAGGTTAAAGCCTTACTTTCGTGTTAGACTAAAGTGTAGCTCTGCTTTAGAGAAATAATGTATTATCTTGATGTTTTGAGACAACTCTCCTGTTTATAGTTAGAGGCTGAGCCTGGCCAAATCCAATCTTGGAAAAGCTGTGTGTCGGTGTGTGTGTTAGTCTTTTTGGTTACAGGGTAAAGGAACAAGAGGCATTTTTAGAGATTGACTGAGTTGTTGCTCTGGGGCCTGTACCATAATGGTAGTTGAACAAACTCAAGGTTGCAGGATTAGTTTCGAATTGACAAAATCGTTCTGATGCTGATCATCAACTTTCTTTGTCAATTCAGGCTTTGATCTTGAGTTTAGGAGTTTAGGTGTGACATCAGTAGTTTACTTATTAAATAAAAGTATTAAAATATTAAGAATTTAAACAAATTTACACAGCAAGAAGAAAATAGCCGTCTATGAAAGAGGACAACTAAAAGAAAGTCTCGCTACTGTATATCAGTGCAAGTAAAAGTTGTGAAGTTAGTTTAAACAGTCGATAAAGATAGAGAGAAAATTGAACATTTAAGCTCAAATGTCATTTTATAGCTTCATTTATTGATTCTAAAGCGTATTTATGTTACCTTTATACATATTCATTTAAAACCTGAGTAATCATAAATAATGAACTGAAATTGTACATGTGAGATTGTTTAAGGGTTTAATAATTACAGAAATAACTTCTAAATCATACAAATTTATTAACTAAAAGCCATGATTTTGTCTTTTAAAATAATTTGCTGTGTAGTGACCTTTAATTTGGCAGGTGGAGTGACTTTATCGCATCAGACATGTGTCACTTTGCTCACAGCTGATTGGTCCAAGTTCGGTTTGCAACCTCTTACTTGGAACATAACCTGTCCCGGACGGTCCAGGTTAGCCGTGGAGCGTAAGTTACTATGGCGATGAAAACCCAGGGTTGGCACAAACTAAATTGAAACATAGCTGGCTAGCCACCTAAACTGGCTTCATGGTACAGCCCCCCAGACAGCAATCCAAATCTGCGACCTGGAAGGTCATGACATGCCTAACCTCAGGGTCCGAGTGTCAGCTGCATAATCGATGAAAATATGCTTCAGTCTATCTGTATATGTGTGGAAAATGACTTTGTTTATCTATTTATTAGCCAATGAAAATCATTCAACCTGAAGCAAGGACGTATCTTAGACCTTGGTGAAGGGAATAATTGCTGTGATCTGTGTAACTGTAAGCGAGGCGGCCTACGAACTCCATTGACTTCTGCTGATGAAACCACAAACTATCTTCTGTCTTTTCTTTAATTTATTATAATTCTGACTCTAGTGTTAATCATTGCTGGTTCTTTGACTGTAAATCCACTTACACCATGCAAGGAAGTGATGGTTAGGGACCAATGGTGGTTCAGTTTATGGGAGACTGAAAAAAAAAAAATCATAAATTTCGACAGATTGCCCAAATTGACCTCCACACTAAACATTCATGTTCATCATAAACCAAACACTATGCAGAAACACAATGTTGGTCATGCTGTGTGGATATTTCTCCACAGAAGGCCCTCTAAGTCTTTCGGGTTTTTCAAATAGATCTAACACTAAAGATTAGGTAGATTAGGTAGAGAAATTGAATAAAGTAATTAAATGTAAAATAACACTGCATAATCTCCAGTGTATAAATAAAAATTATATATTAATTTACAAAAGTTATTGAGTCAAGAGCAGAGTCATTTTTTTAATTTTTTTTGTTTTGTTTGATTAAAAGTAGGGTATGGGATTTGCAAAACGGCTGGCAGATTTCGAAAAAAAAAACACTCAAAAGGTCCAACCTTTCCTCCAACCTTGGCCCTGACTCCACCCATTCCACCCAAGAACTTGGATGCACAATCATGCATCTGCAAAACTCAAGTGAGTGAGATTGCACTTACTCATTGTCTCTCTGTTCCTGGGGCAACTTGCACTTACTGGCCCTCATTTATCAAAAGTGCCTACACCAAACTTCCTGCGTACTTCCAGCATTTTCTATCTCGACCGTTTACTTAAGACATAACCGACTATTGTTTACTAGGATACCCGCCAAGCCCAAGACAGGCATTTTAGCACAATTTTGTGCAAAAATGTCTGTTCAAGCACAAGAAGACGTGATAGAGCTGAAATCGGTAATCGCGTCCTGTCAGACGTAACTTTGTGGGCTTTCTGCCTCTAACTAAATGACAGGAGACTGATATCATACAATTTACAAGCCATTGGCTAGTAAAAAATTAGTAGTACAAAAAAATGTTTTAGTTGCATAGCATATAATGCAATACGTATTATAAGTATTATGCCACATATAAGTGATTTACTCGCATTCTAGTCATACTGATATGCAACCTGACAGCAAATTAATGTTCAGGAGTTAAAAAGTCAGAATCCAGACCTAAATCCCCAAAATGGACTTCAAAAAGGGCTCAAAGCAACCTGACAAAGCAGTATTATAAGGCTTAAAGTGTAATAAATTATGATATATATATATATATATATATATATATATATATACACACATTTACATAAAATAATATTGTTGTGCTATTTAGAGCCAGAGGTTCATACAAAATTGCAATGATTTCTATAGGAATAGTAGGCCTACATATTCACATTAGCTATAAAAAATAATTACAACCATGCCATTTTCATCCATTTTCAGCCAAAACCACAGCAATAATTGGGCAAGAAACCAGACGAAATATTTAAACAGGGTTTGTTTCAGTGAATATTTCTTTATATAGTCCTGTCTCCGGTGATTTTGAAAACACTGAGGATGGGAAGAGGGGTTGCAGTAAGAGGACATAGCCTACATGTGATCTATCTGAGAGCATATCTGTTGCTGATGGTAAAATACGCGAAAACATGATCACAAGCACACTGCGGTGATGGTGGTCAGGAGTGAAACGGTAGCTAAAGAAACACTGAAGTTCGCATTAATTTACAGACAAAAACAGTACTGGTTTCCAAAGAAAACGCCTTCCAAAACGTCCTATGCTGTACTGATGTACAAAAATAATGTTTTTTTTTTTTTTTTTTTTTTTTTTTTTTTACATGCCTCCGTATCCATTTTATTGTTTCATGAATTGATTTTATTGTTGTGATAGTTGTTCTGTTTACGTAAACAGAACAACTATCATAACAATAAAAATGGATAGTGAAGCATGAAAAAAATCATTATTTTTAGCCAACATAAACTACAATTTATATAATTAGTTGCTTGAGGTGATACCGAAATAATAACTACTGCTAACAAGAACACATTTCTGCTATTTGACTAAAAGGCATAGCCTTTGTGACAACTAGCCCCGCTAACACATAATATACACAAGAACAATTTATGATAAAATATGCCACATAATGACAGTAATATATCCCATAAGACACACACACAAACACACACATTTCACATAACATTAGACAAAATAAGCGACTACAAGCGTACATTACTTTATAAGACAGGTCTGGATTTTTACAGCTGACAGACATCACATTTGCAACCGCAATACGAAGAACTATTAATAAATTAAACTAATAATACTCACCATTAGGTTTCTTCTCAGTGAGCACTTCAATCTCGCTAGTGGGAGCCGCCATCTTTCCCCAAACAACTGCACGTGTGGAGTGAAACAGGCATTACTCATCAAACACAGAGCTGATGTTAAAAAAAATCAAGTGTCGATAACATAGATAGCCTGCGATGCATGAAGAGACGTAAAACAAGTTTTTTTTAGAAGAGACCCATTTCCTCAAATAAAAATGCGACTACATATTCACATTTATGGAAATTAAAAGAAAGTAAATTGATTTTATATTGGCATTGTACAAAAGTTTATCTGAAAAACAAATTCTATCTGCAAAAGTACATTGAGTCATCATGGTTGATGTAAAAACTTGAAGAGACACAATTTCAATTCAATTGTAAGACTGTTTTGTTAACTACTTTGTAAGTTTATAGGATTAGGAAAGCAAAATGAATATCTTTTTGTAATATTTTTATTGTATATTATTCATAGCCGGTTGGGAATCCCTGCATTATCCTCCAGAAAAAAATGTCAGCATTTAACAAAATCAAGCTTTCTAAATACAAACTGGGTCGGTGCTTAGGTGTTGATATTCTCACAGCCTGTCTTTTATAAAGAGGCTTTCATGACTTTTCATCTCCATCTGTGCTCTCTCGCCTGGTGTGTGCCTGTGAATGGAGCCAGAAGTGCTATAGCTTGAGTCACCAGTCTCCTTCACAGTGAATGAATCAGTGGTATTAAGTGTCCCTTTGTCTCAGATACACAAACTACACACTGAGGTGCAAGCACAAAATACATAAAAATAAAACTTGCATTTTTCATCTTGGATAAAGGTGACAGTTATTATGCACGTTTACATAAAATGTATTTTAATAGGTTAAAAAAAAAACATCTGCCCCAAATGGCTGCAATTTAGCATGTTATGTAGCCTTTTTTGTGATATTTTAACAGAATTGAATTCATTAAGATATTATAATAAAATACATTTTGTTTAGGCCTATGTAAAGTTTGGAAACATGACATTTAAAAAAATGTTTTTGACATTTTTTTATAGAAATCTATATGCTCATCAAACCTGTGTTTATTTTATCAAAATTACAGAAATATTTTGAAATATTACAATTTAAAATAATGGTTTATATTTAAACTATTTTAAAATACAATTTATTTCTGCGATGCAAAGCTGAATTTTCATCCGCCATCACAGTCTTTAGTGTCATATGATCCTTAAGAATTTTTTATAACCTGTGATACTTTTTTTCAGGATTATTTGACGAATAAAAAGCTGAAAAAGAACAGCATTTATATAACAATTACATGTTTAAAAGTTTGGGGTCAGCCATTTAATAGACAGAAGTTGAATTTCGATTTTAAGAATATGTATAGGCTACTACTTTTTCTAATTACAAATGATGTGGAAGTTGTGTGGAATAACTCCATCTTAGGGGCACATTTTTAATTTATATATTTTTCTTTATAAATAATACATGTATTTTTAAATACACATTTTGTGTTTCTGTTTGAGCTGTTCTTCGTGGCACACAATGTTTTTATTAAATAAAGATCGCTGTTGCAGTATTTGCAAAAACTATTAAGTCTTATTTTTTTATATAAATGTAATGATATATTTTTTATAGCCTACATAAAAAGATTTTGAAAGTTTATGTAAAAGAACAGCATTTATATAACAATTACATGTTTAAAAGTTTGGGGTCAGCCATTTTCTTTTCTTTTTTTAAGAAATTAATACTTTTATTCAACAAGGATGTGTTAAGTTTGGGGTCAGCTATTTATTTATTTATTTATTTTGAAAGAAATTAATAATTTTATTCAACAAGCATGATAATGAAGAGTGATAATGTTCAACAAGAATTATCCAACAAGAGTGATAATGAAGTGATAATGAATATTGTTAAAAGAGTTCTATCTTAAATAAATGCTGTTGTTTTTAACTTTTTATTCATCAAAGAATAAAAAAGGATCACAGGTTCCAAAAAAAAAAAAAAAAAAAAAGAAAAGTGAAAAAATGAAGCAGCACAACTTTTCCAACATTGATAAATGATTTCTGAAGGATCGTGTGGCACTGAAAGTAATAACTGCGGAAACCCTTTACCATTCACCTTTACCATCACAAATAGTACATTACCTACATTTGAATCTATAATTTTTTTTACTAATATTTCACAATCTTCTTTTACTGTTTTTTTTTTTTTTTCAAACAAATGCAGCCTTGCATAAGAGACTTCTTTCAAAAACTTTAATAATGTAGTAATGTAATCTTAATGTTATATATATTCAAGGTGTGCCAGCCTGGGATAGAATAAAAAGAGCAAGACCGAGAGAGAGAGAGAGAGAGAGAGAGAGAGAGAGAGAGAGAGAGAGAGAGAGAGAGAGAGAGAGAGAGAGAGAGAGAGAGAGAGAGAATTGAGCTCAGAACAAGAATATATCAACCACTAAACCAACACATGGTAATTTCAGATTATTTTGTGGAGAGGGAGAGAGGAAGAACAGGTGATAAGTGTTTTGAGAGCCCCATCAGCTCTGAGTCTGAGGTATCAGGCACGCGCATCTCTCAGCAGGAGCGCATCATCTGTCCATTCCGCCACTCTCTCACCGCGCGCTGGACATGTGAAGGTGGAACGCTCATATAGGCTCATATGTGATTTGTCCATGCCCCGAGACCCAAAATATCTGGACGAAATGCTATCAAAAAGGTGGATTGTTGGAGATTTTGTGTGGAGGCAGCGGGACACCTCCCCATAGTTCGGCGTAGAGTGTCTCCGAAGAGTGCACGAGAGTTGCCGCGGCTTGGATTGAGGACCATCTCCTGAATTTACTCAACAATCTGTGAGGGATACGCGAAATTCAAACGGCGTCAGTGTCTTGCAATAAGAGCGTTTAGAGTATTTTGGATCACATATACTACAATATTGCTTGTTTCGTGAGGGTCGCTGAGAGCTGAACACCAGGTGCCCCTGCTTAATCTATTCACTGGATAACAACAATTTATACTGCAGAATGTGTTCCTCTCCTTTTGGACTGCTCTCAGTTGCATCTTGTGAAATATTTGCTCGGGACCACACAGGATGAAACGGACATCAGCATTGCAATAAATTAGCCTAATTGAAATTCAGCAAGAAGTCTTCTCTGAGCTATAGGAGTACATACATTTATGTATTCTGATTAAACCAGACAGCGTTTGATAGATCGCTTGGCATCTTACTGACAGTGGGAAGTCTGGAATACAAGAATAAATGAACCTGAGTGGACAGACAGACTATTAACAATATCCAACATGTTTAAACGTGGTAAGTGCAATTTACAACTTTTATCCATGCTGTTTTTAATAGACAGAAGTTGAATTTCGATTTTAAGAATATGTATAGGCTACTACTTTTTTTAAATACAAATGATGTGGAAGTTGTGTGGAATAACTCCATCTTAGGGGCACATTTTTAATTTATATATTTTTCTTCATAAATAATACATGTATTTTTAAATACACATTTTTTTGTGTTTCTGTTTGAGCTGTTCTTCGTGGCACACAATGTTTTTTATTAAATAAAGATCGCTGTTGCAGTATTTGCAAAAACTATTAAGTCTTATTTTTTTATATAAATGTAATGATATATTTTTTATAGCCTACATAAAAATAAGGATGCTTTTTGCAGTATAAAAGATTTTGAAAGTTTATGTAAAAGGCTGTTAAGTTCTACAGCTCTCATCCATGTTCATCTTTCCAGAATCATGTGTGTCTGCCCCCGGGTAAGCTCAGCGTAAAGCAGATGTGTTTAAAATATTCATCATCATATCATGAAATATTTTCTTAAGATGCTATGGTGGGTGCCGCACTGCAGTTTATCGCCAGTTTTTCATCAGAAAGCATTGTGCTGTCTGCCTGGCTCCAATATATTTCTCTTGGTGGGTTAAACAGGTTTGGCTCAGATAGTCTGTCACGATTATTTATGGTCTTTGTTTATGATCAAATGACAAAGTGTATAAGGAGTCAATTGTAAGTCAATAGATTAACTGGTTAGTCTTGAAGCTGTCAGTGGGAGACAGTTGATTGACCTGCAGATCATTTCAAAGACTTGTTGTTTTCACTAGATCGTTGATTGTCAGTCCTGGTGTATCCCAGCATTGATCCTCATTCAGCAGCACACCTGATATATGTATCGTCGGCTCTTTAGTAGAGGCTCTGAACAGGGTGTGTCAGATAAAGAGGACATCTATGTGCAGTGCCAGGATCAGTTCTAAGAATTGACAACCCCTACATCAAACATATGTGGTTTAACAAATCCTAAATCTTACTGTTTAAAGTTCACTAGGACATTCCACTTGCCCCAATTCACTTGTCACTAGATCTTAGAGCTTTTGCATGGCACTTTTACATATGCTCAAGCTCTGAAGTTGCTGACTGCTATAAATGTGTAGCAAGTCAGTCTGAAAAAACGAATTTCCTTGGAGGAGGCCCAAAGCTTAACACAGAGACAATTGTTATTTCAATAGACTTGGCGTAGGAACAAAACACACCAATCAAGCCTCTCATCGGCACACTAAAGACCCCTTATGAATGCCTGTGAGGAGCCTGTGTTGCAGATATGAGAACAGTGGGTTGGTTTTGAGCTGATTTGGATCTGATTTTCATTTACCTCAAAGTAAACCGCTACCAGGTTTGCAGATCTTTTTAGGGACATTTGGTCCCACATATCAATACAGTTTTTGTTTTTAGATCTGTATTAATGAAAAGTTGTGAATATTATCGACCTGAAACTTTTAAACGCACACTTATATTGGGTTTCCATGTTTAATGGGGACTTTCCATAGTCATAATGTTATATCTGTCGGCTAACCCCTAAACACAACCCTCGCCGAAAACCTGAACTCTGCGTGATTTATTCGATGTTTTCCTTAAGTGAACCACAAGGAAAAAATGACTGGTATTAATATCTTTGTCTGACATAGGGTTTTACATCTCATGTGTTATAACAGTCCTCAGGCTCCCCAATAAATAAGACTTGTAAATTGGTTTCAACAAAATGGATACCAATGGCAACAACAATTGTCAACAGCAGCACAAATGATAAGGCCCATCCAATGGAGAAACTGTGTTTTTGTTGTTGTTTTTGGTTATGTTTTCTTACAATTGTGAATAAAATGTGCTTTTAAAAGTCAAAAGAGTTGCTTTAGGGTAATGAGGTTTCTTTGCTCTGTTGGGTATTAATTGGTCTTTCACTTCAGAGTGCATTCAAAATTACGGGAAAAAAAAAATCTGTTGCTGTTTTCTGTTGTGCCTATGAAGCATAAATAGAAAACAGCTTGAAAATAGTGAATATATTGCTTTGCACTGGTGTGACATTTTCCAGAAATGTCAGGCCTAACTGGTTGTGTGGCTGTGCCAGGGCTGAGCTTGCGCTGTTTCTGCTAGTAAGAGGTCCAATTTCCTGAAATTTTTCCCTCAATTTCCTCCCAAACTTACTTAAACACACACAGGCATGTTTTGGTCTTGGTTGGTTTAATATAAAAGTGCAGCCACACTTATCCTCTCCATCTCTTAGCATGTATCCTGTTTTCTCTCTCTCCATTTCTCACTTTATTCTGCTTGCACTTCACAATGTCTGACAGTCATTTCGATTAAAACATGTATATATGATGCTGCATGGTATATTCAGATTTCTGATGCTTTTCTGAGGGCAGCTCTTCAGACTATAATTGGTTTGTTGTGCTGAGTTGCCAGTATAGAGAATGGCCTCGTTTTAAAATTCAGCCTTGAAACATTGTCAGGCTCTGAAATCCAGCCTGATCTACATCCGGTGACAAATATATTCTATGCTTGAGTTGATCTGCTTAGTTTCTAATCGAGAAAAACAAAACAGGCATAACCCACACCTGCAAACAAACCAAGGTGATTTTCCCTGCAAATCCTCTGCAATGAAATGAAAGAAATAACTATGCAGCTGTGAGTGGAGAAAGTCAGTATTCAGACGAGATCCTAGACAATGTTGTTATGGGCAGATGGATAGGAGAGGGGGGTTGGTAAGCAAAACAGGGAACACCTGTGGCCTGCTCCTATTCCCCACTTCTGAGACCTTCAGTCATTACCACAAACACCCTCAGACTGAAATACAAAGTAACAAGAGACAACTTATACAGCCTGCACCTGCTCAGCTGTTATTTGGGCTACCTCTTATTATTTGTAATTCTCCAGCTTCAACCAAGACTCAAGCATAATGACTGTTTTCAAATAGGTTTCTGATAGACTCACGTTTGTTTGGCCATAAAGGTAGTGCTTTCCAAAAACACACTCCATTGGTTGAGCAAGAAGTTGATGTGTCGGACCACTCAAAGAGCCACAGAGACGAAGTGTTTACTTGTTGTAACTTTACTATAAATTACCATTAAAAATGAGGGACGGGGTTGGGGTAGGTCATATATTTATTTATACAGTAATGTAACGTTAAGTCAACGGCATCCATAAACACGCTGAAAAGCGATTATGCGTGTTGATAGCACGGCAAAAATGGAAATATGAATTGGTGCGTCTTACATACGCCATTTCATGAGATCAGTCTGTCACATAATAAAACATAAACAACACAACATAAATCAAGGCCTGGCTTCTCTTGTCGAGACGGTGCATCGCGCAGGTGTCGCTCATCGGCAATCATGCAACCGGCCTAGCGCCCTTCTCCCAAGGCCCTTGTCCTCGGTCTTAATATTGTCTCCCTTAAAGGACAAGTTCGGTATTTTACAATTAAAGCCCTGTTTTAAGATCGTCCCTGATGAAATAAAATAGTTAAGATTGTTTTTTAGACAGATGCTCCCGTCACGAGAATTTTTGGACAAAGACGTGAAACTCACCGAGTGGTCTGGGGTGTTCACTGATATGCTCACACAAAAATCGCTGCAAAAGATGCTTTCCAACAGGTTTTATCGTAGTTTTTGTCCGACTTCATTTTCTTCCTGTTTTCGGTCGAAGTCCACAATAATAAATTGTCGAGTTCACGTGCGCGATCATTGGTAACTATAACTAAGGATCGCGCACACAAAATCGATAATCGACTACTGTGAACTTCGACCAAAAACAGGAAGAAAATGGACTTTGGACAAAAACTACGATAAAACCTGTTGGAAAGCATCTTTTGCAGCGATTTTTGTGTGAGCATATCAGTGAACACCCCAGACCACTCGGTGAGTTTCACGTCTTTGTAAACTAAAGTTTTATGCGTTTTAATGAATGATTGTTCGAGTGCACCTATGCTTTCATTATAAAGGTGGTGGCGGGGGGGGGGGGGTTCTAACACAGAATCCAAAAATTATCGTGACAGGAGCATCTGTCTAAAAAATAATCTTAACCATTCTATTTCATCAGGGACGATCTTAAAAGAGGGCTTTAATTGTAAAATACCGAACTTGTCCTTTAAACATTAAATCCCTGGTTAATGTAAAATATGAACATTATTCTTTCCTAAGAAACACATAAAATGTTAACAACTTTCTTTTAATTGGCTGAAGATATTGTGTGATCAAACCTATCTGAAAAGTGTAATATATAATATGTCATTTCTTTCAGCTCAGTGTAATTCAGTAGTGTAGTAATACATATGCTCTGATCACATCAGTGGACTTCAATTACCACACAGCTATGAAACATGCCTGAGACTTCTCTGCATGCCAAACAGCTCATTTCCTGAAGGACACTCACTGAATGACAAAAGGATGGCAAGCAAGCGCCGTTGCCTGTCATCTTACCCCGTCCCATGGGACATAAATTCTTATCATTACAGCTATCAGTAATTATAAGTAATTAGTAGCACAGGAAGTGGTATTTTAATGAGTGTCATTTTCTTCTTATGTCCTCATTTTCACGCACCTTTTGACCAGTTCAAACCCGGCACAGGACACACTTGGTTAGGATGGATGGGTTTTATGCATATCTTTTGCTTCCACATAGACAAATGAACCTAGTGGTTTGTTTTTACTCTCCATAAGGCTGACTTCCACTGGCATTAGACTGATGACTGTAAATTATTATTTCTAAGAATGAGTTTGCAATCTGGATGTCTGTACCTGACATTTTGTCTTGCAACAATGTTCTCATTAACTCATAATTCATACACAAACTATAATTAAATACACATTTCCTGGCTGCTGTGGTGTCCAGAAGGGAGGAAGTCTCCAGCGTAGCATGTGGCATCTCTAAGTGCCCTTTACCAACACCTGAAATCTCAGCACAAATATCTCTCCTCTGCCTTTGGAGTGGAAATGAGATGCTGGCTTGGTCATTAGTGGATGATAATGAGCTAAG